ACTCTTTCACCCTATAATTATGATGTAATGTGGAGCAGGTTAGAAGCTAAACTTCATCTCGTTTGTATTTTCACAAAGTAAATAACTTCATGGAGTCAGTCAAATTATACTGTAATACTTACACTGTTGTAATGGAGGTATAATGGGATTCTGCTGTTTTGAGGAACTATTGGTTAAGCAATAGCCTGAATAATTCACTGTTAAATTGGCTTTGGAATATTACTTCACAGACATAAGTAGCTTGTTTTGTAAATGACCTAGAACAGTCTTTACCTCCTCAAATTCCAAAATCCATTGAAAATAAAAAGTGACAATGCTGGTCTATTATTCAGATTTATTTTACTATTTTTTCTTTCTCTAGTTATGAAATCAGAAAATTAAGGATAAACCAAGGCTTCTTCCTTCTTCCTTCCCTTTCTCCCCTTGTGTTTCAGAGTTTAATTCCTGGCCTGGGTCCCCATTTATTAGCCTGGTCAGTTATCCCCTATTAACCAGAGTTCCCTGGTTTGGACATAAGGGGAACTCTGGCTTAATACAAGCCAGGAATGAACAGCTGAAGCTGGCATACTAGAGTAGGAGAGCAGAATTGCAAGCCCAGTACTTGTTCCTGTCTTCATAAACCATTGTTTATGAACCTGGGAAGATGGTCTAAACCAGCTTATTATGGAAAGATATGTGATTTCTATTGAAAACGACAGCTCCACACAGAAGAAGGAAATGTATACTTATTCCCAGAGTTTTCTCATGCTCTTCTAGTGAAGCATAGCAAAGAACCTTGGAATGTGATCTACATGTTGTCTTTTTGCTACATAGTTGCTATCAGGCGAATGAGAAGCGGGAGAGATAGAACCCCATTTTAAAGCTCCAGTCCTGTATGAGCTGTGACGTGTTGTTTCATCCTAAGATTCTTTAACTGCTAAACACCAAGCAAAATCTTGCAATGCATGTTCACATGAGTTGTCCCCATATGCACCATAATGTCAATAAGCAAGTACAAAAAGTCGATTCATAGACCATTATATAGAATGATACGAATGGAATATTTCCAGAAAAACTAGTCCAATTTAATAGCTTAAAACAACACAGAAGAGAAAACAGCATCTAACAGAGAGATAAAAGTCACAGTACCAGGGATGCTGAACGGAGGTCATATGCATTCCACTTATATCAGAAGATGCATCCACTTAGTTAAATGGTCACCCAAATTACAATAATGATGCAGATGAAGATGCACATTTAGATTTGCATCTCTGCATTGTTGTTGGTCTACTTTCACAAGTTAATCTCTCGCTGGACCTGGACTTCTGTATTTTCTAGCACAGCAGTGGACACATAGCCTTTATGTTGTTCCCCTAATTTTTACAAAGGGGGAAAGGTGTATATATAATTCATACTAGAAGTGCAAAAATTAGCCCCTTACAAGTGTCTTTCATAGGAGTATATTTGTTTACCACACCTTATCAGGGAGCAAACCTGCAGCTATTTCCAAGGGTTTGATTTACTGTTCTACTATATCTTTTCATAAAGCTAGGTTTAGGATTGCTACATTATTCATGCCTCAGGCTTCATCTGAAACAAGTAGCATATCCTGGTGAGTAAATAACATAACCTGACTGATGGTTTACCGCTTTGCCAAAAGGCGAGGTATAAAAGAAAAACTCACACTGTGTATGATCAAGGAAATTTTACTCCATAGATTATAGGTGTCTTTAAAAAATTACAAAAGGAACAGATTGTTAGAGATAAATGATCAACTCTTTCATAAGGGAACAGAATTGCAAAGTACAGAGTTTGACAGGGTGTTCTTCAAGCGAAGTTAAGTTACGAGGCAATTTGAACTGTCTCTGTAATTGTAAGCTAAATCCACCAGATGGCATAAGGAAATGAATGTCATTAACTGCACATGTCCCCTGTTCTGGGTTTAGTCCAAACTAAACAACTGACACTAGCATACAGAAAGAAGAAAAGCTTTATTACACCAAAGGGAAATAAAACAGGAATAAAAGATGGCCCTCGTAATTAAAATCTGGGACTGGATCAGATGAAATACTTGGCTCATAAGTCATAGGGTAGCATTTGGGAGTTTGTGTGTTCGTTTGATTTTTTTAGATGGAAGATGTATTCAAATGGGGCATTTAAAAAGTTTTATAAAATTATGGAAGATATGGAGAGAATGAATAGAGAGGCTTTTACAGTGGTACCTTGGTTCTCAAACGCCTTAGTACTCAAACAACCTGGAACCCAAACACTGCAAACCTGGAAGTAAGTGTTCCAGTTTGCGAACTGTTTTCGGAAGCCAAATGTGCTCCATTTTTAGTGTTACACTTCTGATTTGAGTGCCACACTTCTGTGCTCCACTTCCGATTTGAGTGTTATGCTGAGGTCTGTCTGTTTTTGCTATTTATTTTGCGTTTTTGTTTTTTTCAGCTCTTTTGTTTTGTTTTTGCGACTGTGTGGAACCCAGTCCAGCTACTGATGGATTGGTTGTGAGACAGCGGCATATTGTTTAGTGCTTTCATTTTATGGATCGATGGTCTCGTGATACATCTTAGTTTGAACAGAGTTTGCATCATGATTATTTCATTAAAGGCTAAGGAAGTTTGTTAAGTTTGTTAAGGGCCAAACTTGTAAAATTGTATTATTCTTTCAATTACTAAAATAGTTGTGTGATTTCTTTGGCAGATACATGGCATATACAGACGATGAACTTTTATTTTTGAAGCACTGCACTGTGGCTTTGTGAACAGCATCATGAGCTGGCTTACACAGTGAAGGGGATGTCAGCATCACCCTTGAGCCAGTGCCACCAACTGGACTCATCCACTTCAGCCCCGACTGGGCTAGGCGAGCTGGGTAGCACTTCCAGAGACCACCTTCTGCACAGGAACAGGTCAAAGTGCTGTGGACTCACAGCTTAGAGTTGTGAGCACCGGATTCACTCCAACCAGAAGACAGTCATCGCACAGCAGAGTACAGCAGACTCTAGCAGAGTATATAAACAACTCGGAGAGCAGCTATGTAGAATATCTTCTTTATTCTATCTACAACTATACAAACTATATACAGAACTTAAATAGGTCTAAGCATAAATGAATGCTGCACTGCACTGAGTGTCTGCAGCTGCTCTTAGCAGCAACCTTATCTCTACACACGATCTCTAACACTCAGTCTCTCTCTCTCTCTCCGACACTGACTGACTGACTGACTCGGTGCTGGAGCAGAATAAGTAGAGAGCAGAACACGCCTCCTCCTCTCTGGAGAATCAGCAGACTCCTCAGGAGATTCTTGGATATGGGAGGGGTGAAATCTTCTCAGGGGATGTTCTATTGGAATCCCCCCCCCATAATAAACAGAACCCTGAGCCTGTAGGATCAAAATCTTTCTGTGCTCAGATCCATCATTGTTCCATTATTAAACAGTCTGTGTCACTAAAGGCACTCCTGGAGTGTGCTTATGCATTGCTACAGCTCTGGTGTTAAATATTTGCACCCACACTTCTATGTAACTATAAAGATGATGAGTAATAATAATAATAATAATAAATCAGGTTTGAGGTGGGGGGGCAGAAGACCACTTCTTTTACATAGCTTGCTGGAACGAACAAGGAAATACTAAGGAACTTAAATTACAAGGGGAAATTAATGGTGACAAACTCATTTTGCATCATAAAAGTTGGTTTAATCGTTTCCAAGTCCACTAGAAATCTGTTATACTGAAGTTCAAAGAGTGTGAATTCATCACTACTTTGGGTTTATGAGCAGTTAGCACCAGGCACTCGATATGAGGCCTATCACACAGCTGTTACATATCTCTTGGTTCTTCTGCTGCTAAAGGCATCAAACGGCCTCTTACAGACTCCAGCAAAAGGCTGGTGAAGACCTGGTAAGGAAAGATGTCATTAGGCCTTTGGCTTATAAAATATCTCAAAAAGAAACATCTCAGAAAAATTGACCTACCTTCTAATACATCATAGTTTGAACAGAGTTTGCATCATGATTATTTCATTAAAGGCCCAGGAAGTTTGGTAAGGGGCAAAATCTTTTTGATGGATGCATAACTAGTGACAACTAGCACACCAGAATTTCTCAGTGTCCTTTTGTGCCATTTAGAATGGTTGTTATAATTGCTTTCCTTTCCTGTTTTTCTTTTCTTTTTTGCCTAAAGAGCAAAATTTAAAACAATCTACGTAACTAATCCAGAGGTTTGCTTTTAGGAAGTCCTTGGAAGGGACTGAAGGGAATTTGGTTTCTTTTATGTCCCGGTTTCTTTGGGCTTGTTCAGCCTGCTGCATCCACGTGGCTGTTTATTCCGTTTTCAGGACTTTCCCCTAACTGTTAAGTTCTGCATTCTATTTGAGTTTTCACAGGATGTTCAATATAGTGGAATATTGTGAAAGTTTGGTGGTAATTTCCATGTTATTTGCTTCCAGAAAAAAATATCTGGAAGTTTGCAAATGATTTAGAAATAAGTGCTAAGCTTACAATATATTCTATCATTGATCCGCTATATTGCACTATAGTTCTGGAAGTGGCTTTTACATTGTGTGAATGCTCAAATTTAATTTGAAGGAAAAAAAAAAGCTGCCATGTAGATGCAGCCTTAAACTTTTACTAATGTCCACATGCTTGTTTATATCAGGAGAGGTGGGGAGCCTCAAGCCCAGAGTCTGAATGTGGCCCCCTAGGCCTCCCTGTCCATCCCTTGGGACTCTCTTGAGGCCATGCTCTTTTGCAATGCCATGTCCCATCTCCCTTGGTCACACATCTTACCAGTCCTGCTCCTGTGATGATGCTTACTTGGATGGAGAGGTGTGCATG